TTTAAAAAAAAATTATTTGCACTAAACAAAATGCTTGAGAATCCCATGACTTATTTAGAAACATTTTTGCAGCCATCATAGAACACTGGGCCAGAGATATAAAATGGAAGAGGAAAGTGTTACCCATACACATCAGATAAAGTATATTTCGTTTGGTACTGATAGTAGAAAAAGAATAAAGCTGAACTCCAGGATCAGCAAGTATTGTCTAAGTGCATTTGTCCCATGTATTCTTACTTAAATCTTGGTGTGCTTTGTGTACCGTATTTGTTGGCGTAAAAGACAACTTATACTTAACCTCCCTAGCGGTATGATTATTTCAGATTTTTGGTGCTGAAAGCGGTACCATTTTTTGCATGGAAATATGTAGTTTTTTTTATTGTAGGGCTGTAATTTAGGAATAACTCACTGAAATCTGTCCGAACAAGAGTCTAGTAAACATCCCGGATATGATAAAACTTGAAACACAAAATCATAAATTATAATTTAATAAATAATCATAAAAAATAATAATACAATAATAATACGTTTAATTCAATAATATAATCAAACCAAAAACACTGAAATTTGAAATATAGCGCCAAGTTCGCACATCACTGAGCAAAGTCGCAGAATTGTTTTCAGTGACGAATTTCCCCACGAATCATTATCACTCAATTCTTCAAGTGGTTCTGATTTACTATCGCTGTTCTCTAGCCGGTCTAAAACCGCTTTTGACATAAAGGGACGCTTTTTGGACGCCATGGACTTTTTTCAGTTTCCAGGCAGAAAGAACAGTCAAAATGCAGGCAGGGGACAGGACAAAGCAGTAGGGACAAAATGTATGTGAAATGGTTTGATACAGCAATGTTTTTTACTATGTAATAATCATTTTTTAAAAAATGCCATTTTTAAAAAAATGTCAAATTTGCCGCCGGTTCTGGCACCTGTACCTCCCGACGTCACAGGGACCGGAACACGGAAGCCGAATTCCGGCATCGGCCGGAGGAGATGGCCGGGGACGCTGCAGGGGACACATCGCGGGAGCGAAGGACAAGGTAAGTGCTGCAGGGACTCCCTGTGCAATGCTGCATGGTAAGCCCGAGTGTAGCTCGGGGTTACCGCTTTTGGTACTGAAACTTTACCCCGAGCTACACTCGGGAATACCGCTAGGGAGGTTAAAAACATACCCCAAAAATCAGGGGTAATCTTATACGCGGGGTATACAATGTGAACCTTTAGTTTGTTTGGGCCCAGCTGGCTCAAAACGAACATCCCTAATTTGTCAGCCTGCTGGATGTGCGGTAATAATGTGTGTACGGTAGCTTCGGCTACATACAGTGTACTGCGGTGAGCCAATCACGGCGAGTGATGTATGTATTCTATTAATGAATACAAAGCCTGCTCGGATTGGCAGAGGTTGTGACATCAGCCCGCCTCTCTGACTCAGCCAATCCGAGCAGGCTTTGTATTCATTAATAGAATACATCACTCGCCGTGATTGGCTCAGCGAGATATACTGTATGTAGCAGAAGCTACCGTACATACAGTATTACCGCACATCCAGCGGGCTGAAAGATTATTGGATGTATTTAACTGCTTGACGCCGACGTAACACAAATATGCGGCCTCACAGAACTTGGCTTTTTTCCATTGAGACCGCATATTTGCGTACAGGTGCGGACTGACCATTTGGAAACTCGGGCCTGGGGTCAGTAGGGGGCCCCATGAGATGCCCCTGGTACCTTTTTTTCATAGGCTTTTTTGAGTTTGAGCAAAGACACAGGGGCCCCATGATCCCCTATTGCCCAGGGGCCCCATGAATAGTCAGTCCGGCCCTGTTTGCGTACCTATCTTTCTGCTGGGAGAGTGCCTCATGGCGCGCTCCCAACACAAAGCCTGTAGTGTCACTGAGAGCACCGGGTCCCGTTCTAACAATCAGGACCTGGGACTCCCGATTCTGGGTCACATGATCGCTGTGATAGCCTCTGATTGGCTATCACAGTGATCAGTCACTGTACAGCCCGGCCCCCTTTTTTTTTCTCTCTTTATGAATGGAGGAGAGAGATACATTGTATCTCTCTAACTCCTAGCATAGAGGGAAAAAAAATGTTTGAAACTACAGGTACAGACTGATTACTGGAAAGAAACAATAGATCTATAGACAAACTCAAACTCCACAAAAAATTATGAAAAATAAATTCTTCAAAATGTAAAAAAAAAAAAGTGGAACATCTTCCTACTAGTGACTGCACCCAGATTCCCAGTGCTGCACCACGTGACTTCATCAGTGATGCGTGACGATACGCGTGGGGAGGAGTTGAGTGACGTCAGCTCTCCAACACCAATCTGACAGGCAGGATTTTACTCTTCACTGATTGCTTCTGTCGTTATTTTAATGTGTTTTTTTGTTGGTTACCATGTGAGTGTATATGTCTTAATAAATTACATGCCATTTTAAAGACGCGTACTGCACTATGATCTACTTTGTGGTTGTCGAGCTTTACCCACAGGGCCGACTGTACTGAAATCACGTGCCATTGGAAGGTTCAGCAGTGATTCATAAGGGGAAGATTGCCCACAGATGAGCAAGTTATGTGTTACCCCCACTGATAGGGGAGATGCTTTTCTGACCTGTGTTCACATACAGGTCCATGTGAGAAGGTGAGGGTCCACCTGGACTTTTATGTTCACTGTGGTGATTCACGTACATTGAAGATTTACAGCACTGGGAATCTGGGTGCAGTCACCAGTAGGAAGATGTTCCACTTTTTTTGACATTTTGAAGAATTTATTTTTCATCATTTTTTGTGGACTTTAGTCACGTTTGAGTTTGTCTATAGATTTATTGTTTCTTTCCAGTAATCAGTCTGCACCTGATGCTGGCTGCTGGGCGGGTATTTATTCCCTCCTCTACTAGTGCCTTTTGCTTCAGTGTTTTGCTCTGCTATCTGGATACTGCTTGATATTTATTGTTTGTTGATAGCAGCGCAACACTTATATTTCATTTATTTTGTTTTTAATGCCAGCACACATAACACGTGTCTGCAGCTGCTCATTATCTAGCACTTTAATCAGCACATTGGCAGCGCACAATTTCTGTTTGTTTTATGATTACTGGAAAGTGCTGGCTGCTAGGAGACACTCACTGGTGGACACTGGAACTACAACATTCCCCTCTAGGAACCACAGTGCCACCAGCAGGTGATACAGGTCCTGACAGATGCTCTTATAACTACGTTTTGCAGCACATATTTTTTTTTAAAAAGAGGACATAGTTCTGCTTTTAACTGAACCATTGGATACAGTCGCTAAATAGTTGCATGGCTTTTATTTTTATATAAAGATAGATTCCTGGAGTCTGTACAATGTATACCAGTGTGTTTCCAGACTTCAGCACTGGCACCTCTCTGAAACCATGGCAGCCTTGCTCATACATTTGGAAGAGAGGTTGCACAACACAGGCACATGTGACGGGTATCTACAATCATATCAAAAATGCACATGAGAAGCCTGATAAATAAATGTAATAAAACAAAGATAAAAGAATACTAAGTGAAGTTCATGACTTCAACACAAGTATAGATGGTACCATCTCTGCTTTAAAGGGAACCTGTTACTTTGCACTAAATAAAGTTTGCTTTATATTGACATACATTTCTGCATGTTAGATTCTGACATGTATTTTCCACTTATTCACCTAGTGATATGACCAGCTTGCAGTCTTAAGTCTTTGCTGGCGTATGTGTTTAATTAAAAAGCCTGCAAACTCATTATTTTCTCTCATTACCTAGAACACATTGATGTTTTATTATATTTACTTTAATACCCAGAATGCAATGTTTTAATCGAAGCCATTTGCAGCACCTTAATGTTTTATACATGCTAGCTATTTACTTCTGCACACCCTCTGTATAGCCATCGTATATTATTACTAATTAAAATCTGCAGTAGCAGTCCAATAATTAGTGACAGGGTTAGGTCTGCCGAGGTTATAATAATCAAGACAGCGAGGTTATAATAATCAAGGCCAGGACCCCTGAGGGTTTCCAGCTCCCACTGGTGATATGTATTTTTTTTTTTGTTGAGCCAATAATCTATAACTAGTTACTATATATAATTTGTTATGCTACAGAGCCCATAAGGGTACAAAAATGCTGTTTAAAAGGAAACTATAATGTATTTTATGACTTTACGTAAAATCTTTACATGGGAGCATGGCTGAGCTTGGTGAACTGGCATGGAAAGTAGACATTCAGCAGCTGAGCTCCGCATTTTAATGATTCCTTAGACAGCTACAAATGAATAAAAACTATCTCTCCTCACTCAATGTATCTTCTGAGCTGGAATTGAGTTCTGGAGGAGCCATCAAGAGCACAGTGGAAAAGACCAGGAATGGGTCATCTTAGAGCTAGCCATTCAAGGTACAACGGGGGTATGTCTGGGTGCACAGAAGAAGAGCTAGTCAAAGCTAGATATGACACAAGTGTTAGGAACTTGTTCGGGGGTTCCTTACCCCCACAACTGCATCCTCCAAGTCCTGACACTAGTCCAAACATGGAAGCAACCCAACCAGGGGTGGACTGACAACTCATGGGGCCCCTGGGCAATAGGGGATCATGGGACCCCTGTGTCCTTGCCCAAACTCAAAAAACCCTTATGAAAAAGGTACCAGGGGCATCTCATGGGGCCCCCTACTGACCCTGGGCCCTCGGGCAGTACCCGAGTTTCCAGATGGTCAGTCCGCCCCTGAACCCAACTGACTGTATCCAGAGGAGGAGACAGCCATCCCCCGAACAGAAGGCAATGCACAGTGAGCCACTGCTAGATGAAATAGAACAATACCATTTTATGATTTTACCTGGTTAGGGTGAGTTAATATATTGCACTTATATGGGCATACTCTTGCAGCTTCTACGCTACTACGCTGTCTTAAACAGGGGCGGACTGACCATTCGGAAACTCGGGCACTGCCCGAGGGCTCGGGGTCAATAAAGGGCCCCATGAGATGCCCCTAGAACCTTTCATAGGCTTTTTTGGGTGTGGTTTGAGTGTGGGTGAGGACACAGGGGCCCCATGATCCCCTATTGCCCGGGGGCCCCATGAGTTGTCAGTCCGCCCCTGGTCCTAAAGTAAGAGAAAAATTACAAAGCTGTAGTCCTTTTGAAGGCATTAGATTGTCAATTTCACACCACTCAGAAAAGACAGATCCTGAAGAATATATCCTTATTAAAAGTCACTTAGTCAACTTAGTCTTGTGGTTACCAAGCTTGGCCTGCCACTTAAGCAAGACCAAACCATTCCTGTTGAGGCAGGCATTATGGGCCTAGGATGCATTTTACAAAACTGGGCCAATAACTACCCTTTGATATCTCATTTGCCATGCCCCACCCACCACTATGTTTAGATTCTAAGCTTTCTGAGGATGGATCACGAAAGGGTGCCTGATGCTTCACTATTTTCTTCACCATCTCCTCTCTTTAGTGGAAATATTTTCCTTGTCACTTGATTATTGGAGGTATACACATTTAAAAATGTTTGCCTTTCCTAAACCCTCATATTCCAGACAGGATTTAAACTCCATTGAGAACCTCTATAAAAAGAAGAAGCACCTAAAAGATGTATCTTGGTGCATTTTAAAAAATTATCACTAAACATTTTCTCTCTACCAAAGTTCTTTCAAGACTGGGATAGAAAAGGGAACTGTTCTCTCATTTATCTACTCAACAAAAATACAGGTTGATAGCTCTAACACATTTTCTCATTCAGCACATTAATATAAGATTTGTTAGCCAGATGGCTGGCAGCCCAAATATGCCTGCATCAAATATGGACCCAAATATCAAATCACTGCTAGAGAAGCTGCAGCCAAACAAGTTCAATTAGTTTCATTTGGGGTTATGTCTTCTAATTCAAAGATACTAGAAAACAATAATACAATTTTATTGACACCATCATGGCCACCACTGTGGATTGGCTGGATTGTTGGAATATTTTTTTTCCAATACACTCAGTCCTCAATTAGCCACTAAGAGAAGACTCTCATGCCCTTTTATTAAAGGTGGTAAAAAGCCTAATTTCTAAATACTGGCAGCAGCACACTAATATACAGAGGCGGACTGACCATTTGGAAACTCTGGCACTGCCCGAGGGCCCGGGGTCAGTAGGGGGCCCCATGAGATGCCCCTGGTACCTTTTTCATAGGCTTTTTTGAGTTTGGGCAAGGACACAGGGGCCCCATGATCCCCTATTGCCCGGGGGCCCCATAAGTTGTCAGTCCGCCCCTGCTAATATAGCATGTTGGAAGAATGGATGCCCTACCCTTCCTACATTTTACAACTCTTGTTCATACTGGTTGGCCTACAAAAACTCGAACAACGATTTATCCACTAAACGCAACCTATAATCTACAATCAGTACATTAGAGCTTCTTGAGTAGGATGCGAAGGCATGGTTCATAAGATAACCTGTTTCCTATCCTCAAGTTATGAACTATGAGTCCTTGACTAGCCCATTAAGTTAAAGTCAAATTGTATGTTTTAATTATTATTTTAAGTCAGGGTGCCAAATAAAGAAAGATTTGAAAGTTTTCTCGTGTGTTTATTTAACCAGCACTCTAGTGCCTTCCCAACCTTTATATCCCCAGCAGCACGCTGAAGATTTGGAAGACCATTCTGCTCTGCTTGAAATCAGCGATCTGCAGTCCAAGAGTACTGACATGCCTACTGCACAGACACATGTGTGCGCCAATCAACAATGCTAAAAAGAAAATTCTGATAGGTGGCATCTGCCCATTCCGATTGGTGCAGTCTACCCAATCCACCCAAGCTATGTTGTTTAGGCAGAGCAATAGATTTAATTAAAGCTGGGCATCATTCAATCATTGTCCTGTATTAAAGGTGAGTATCGCACAATGTGTTGTTCTTTCTTTACCCTGTCTGGGGTCCCATATTACTAAATTGCTTTGATTAACCGCTTTCCAGATATACTGCTACAGGGCGCAGGGGTGCGCAAAATCACGTATATATACGTGACTTTGCATTTCTGGGTAGGGGGCACGTGCCCTACCCGTGCCATTATTTGCGGCCTTGGCTGTCAATCACCGGGTTCCGGACAGTGATTACTCAATGGCACCCGGTGATTGAGGAGCATTACCAACAGAGGGAGAGAACTGTGAGTAAACCATACAGTTCTCTCCCCTGTCAGCTCCTGAACACTGCTATGCATGGCTTTGCATAACTGAGCCATGCAAAGCAGAGTGCTTACAGTGAAGCACACACACAGCACACAATAAAATAGCACACAGAACACAGGTAACCCTTTGAATGCCCCACATGTTAACCCCTTCCTGCCCAGTGTCATTAGTACAGTGTCAGTGCTTTTTATTAGCACTGATTACTGTATTGGTGTCACTGGGGATGTCAGTGACACCAAGTCAGTTCCCACCCAGTGTCAGAATGCCTGCCGCAGTCCCGCTATAAGTCACTGATCGCCGCCATTACTGGTAAAAAAAAATCCCATTATAAATACCACAATTTTGTAAATGCTATAACTTTCATGTAAACCAATTAATGTACACGTATTGGGATTTTATTTTAGTAAAGACATGTCGCAGAATACATTTTGGCTTAAACTTATGATGAAATTAGATTTTTAAAAATTTTTTACTGGACATGTTTAATAGCAAAAAGTCAAAAATATTGTTTTTTTCTCAAAATTGTTGGTCTTTTTTTTTTTTTTTTATAGCGCAAAAAAAAAAAAAACGCACAGGCGATCAAATACTACCGAAAGAAAGCTCTATTATTGGGGAAAAAAAGGACGTAAATTTAATTTGGGTGTAGCATTGCATGATTGTGCAATTGTCAGTTAAAGCAACGCAGTGCAAAAAATGGCCTGGTCAGGAAGGGGGGTAAATACTCTGGAGGGCAAGTGGTTAAAGAAAAATATAGGAAATATGGGGAGGGGGGTAATTACAGCCATTTCTGACCATCTTCTTACTCACCTCAATACTTTCCGAATCACCATCCAAGAACAAGCATGCAGCAGAACTTGTACCAGGCAGGGGTGGACTGACCATTTGGAAACTCGGGCACTGCCCGAGGGCCTGGGGTCAGTAGGGGGCCCCATGAGATGCCCTTGGTACCTTTTTCATAGGCTTTTTTGAGTTTGGGCAAGGACACAGGGGCCCCATGATCCCCTATTGCCCAGGGGCCCCATGTGTTGTCAGTCCACCCCTGGTACCAAGTCTTTGGCTTAGCATGCCAATCAGACAACCAACAGTTTTACTAGATAAGATGGTAATAGCACCCTCTACATTGTTTAATACAGGTTTCTTTTCATACCTTGCTACTGTTCAATCAGCTAACCTCAAAGTTTTTTTTATCTTCCCTTGTCTAGACAATGCCCATAAGCCTTACAGAAATTTGCGCCTTTTTCACAAATTCATATTACAAGATAATTTTTTTTTTTCATTTCTACTTCAAATAAAATAAGTCTGCTAAAAATATTCTAGAATTTGTTTGCATTTTTGAATGTGATCAAACGATTCATCAATCAACAAATCTACACATCTTCTGGAGCATCTGTAAAATTGCATTCATTTTCAACCCATAATTATTTCAATCAGACAAGAAATAACATTTAGGAAACATACAGCTGCACACCGAAGACTTAAAATGTATCTGCTTCTTTTTGAGTAAAATACATAACATCTTGTTGTAAATGTTTATCCAATGTTTCATCCAATTATTTTTTTCCAACATAGTTCTATAGATATTGCTAATACGAAATCAAAGTATCCGTTGGAACACATAGAAACACTCATGTAAAACTGTAACCCATAGCTGAACTTTCACTGATCTTACTTTGAACTGTAGTTCGGTCGCAATTTCATCACTTTTGCACTGCCTGGATTCCCCCACTGGCCTAATTATTATATAGTAACATAGATAGGTTGTAAAATTCTGTAAAAATTTAGTATAGATAGTTACATAGTTAGTCTGGCTGAAAAAAAGTTATAATCCTATACCCACAGTTGATCCAGAGGAAGGCAAAAAAAACATACATTGCAAGCTTTACAAAGGTAGATTTGCTACAAAAAAATCAGGATAATGGAAGTTACATAGTTAGTCTGGCTGAGAAAAGACAAAAGTCTATCCAGTTCAACCATTAAAAAAAAAAAGTTATAATTTTACACCCACAGTTGATCCAGAGGAAGGCAAAAAAAAAAAAACCCAGCAAAGCACAATTCCTTCCTGATCCCCCAAGAGGCAATTGGATATTCCCTGGATCAACTTTACCTATAAATGTTAGTATCCAGTTATATTCTGTGTATCTAAGAAATAATCCAGGCCTTTTTTGAAGCAATCCACTGAGCTGACCAGAACCAACTCTTAAGGGAGTTTATTCCACATTTTAACAGCTCTTACTGTGAAGAAACCTTTCTGTGTTTGGAGATTACATTTCTTTTCCTCCAGAAAAAGTTTTCCTCCTCTGTAAAAGTTTGTTCAAGTGGAACTTTAGTTCTGCTATAGATCACTAGCCCCCTTTTGCAGGTATAGCCAGCGGTGTATTTAGGTTTTGTGCTGCCCTAGGCAACACAAAAATCAGCCACCCCAACCCCTCAGCCAAGAAAGCCTTCCACTGCCCCCCATACACCCACCACCATTACACCTCCCCCCCACATGAGAGAGAAAGATACTCACCTTCACAGCTCTGGACATTCCCAGGAACGCAAGGCGGGCTCTGCATACACAGCCAAGCAGCCCGCAGCCTCTCACGAATCCCATCTGCTCCCCATGCCACATGTGTCCCTTCTTCTGTCCCTATTTTTGCCACCCCCCAAAAAATGCCACCCTAGGCAAATGCCTTGTTTGCCTTGTGGTGAATACGCCCCTGGGTATAGCTATGCAAAACATAAAAAATAACTGCCTATACAGTAATACACTCACTCTCTGCTCTGCACATGCTCATTTGCTCACTAATTTTAGGCACTGTGCCGAATTTGTATAAGATGATCTACTCACAGCCCAAAAATTTATTGCTGCTCTGGGCTTCAGCAAAATGGTAGCCTCCTATGTTTTTTGCTAAATAATATTATTTTTGTTTTATTATTTTTATTTGTTTTATTATTTTATTATAAGTTGTTATGGGTTAAATTGCACTTTAAATTTGGCTTTCAACTTCTTCCAAAAAATGTTGTCATAAAGGTCCTGAAAATTTGCCAGTAGTGAAAGGAATAGC